AAAAATTAATTTTTACTTGTAGATTTAAATGACGATCAATTATTCTTTGCATTAGAAAATAAAAAAAAGATATATTCTAAATGAAATTTAAATGATTACATTTATAAATTTATTTATATAAATATTTTTATCTTAAAATATATGATATTTTTGATGTATAATGGAAATAAATTTTAGTTTATCGATTAAATCAAATCATATGAGAATTTCTTACTTTATATAACACCGGCCCTGTGGCCTAATGGCTATGGCGTCTGACTTCGAATCAGAAGATTGCAGGTTCGAGTCCTGCCAGGGTCGCTCTTTTTTTTTTCTTTTTTCTTCCTTTTACTGTTGAGCATAAATCCATTTGCTTACTTATATTACTATATTACGATAAAAAAAATGCAAAATTCAAATAATATTCATTTTAATTTAATTTTGTTCCTTTTATCAACCTTATGATCTAATGGTTTGATCGTTCGACTTTCTTTTCTTTTCTTTATATGTATATATTTACATTAAATTCATTCTATCACGAATAAAAACTTCAACTTGATATTAAATATTTTGCAAAAAAAAATTAAATTATTTAGAAAATGTTTAATAGTTTATTTTCAATATTAAACTAAGATAAAATATCGATCTTTAGTTGGCGGCATATTATTAAAAAGAAAAAAATTATAATAAAATAGATTAAAATTATTTTGAATACATTTCGACGGCTGATTTGCTTTTATATTGAATCTACAGATACATACAATCAAGTTATTGGAGAATATTTGTTGATACTTGTCATACCTTATTTTTCGATTCATCTTGTCTTCATATAAACTATTAACGATTAGACATATATTTGTTACATCCTCTGTTCCTCATCATTTATGAATGAATATACATATACATGATGGTGAGTGAAGCGTATTTTTATAAAAAGTTAGTTTTTTAAATTATTTATTTATCGTACCATGGTATTTTACATGTGATTTATGTGAGAATTCGAATACCGAACGAATGAACTTATAATATGATGATCTCTAAAGATATACAATGTGTACTTGCTACAAAGATCTATCTTATATTTGCATATATCATAAGAATCAAATCAATAAGAAAAACAAATCATGTACAGCCTAAAGAAAGTTTGAGCCACATGAATTGCTGACATGTTTTAGGGAAAAACAGCAGATACAGTATTTGAAGTGTCTAGTAGTATTATTTAGATTCAAAAGAATTGAAGCTCGTTGTTTTAGTCTCATTATGTAATTTATTTTTGAGATATCGTAACGATATTTGTCTTTATATTTTTGTCGTTATTTCATACATCGTATAATACTTTGTCTCTATCATACTTTAACCATATTATTCCTTCTTTTCATATTTTTTCATTTTTTTTATGATGAACAATCATATAAGCGTATGCTTTGTATGAAAACCATGCGATTCTAGATAAGGAGAATCATAATAGATTGTAATATCATTAGCACTAACATTTCTTCTATGAGAAATCTTCACAAATATGAACAGGAATTCAGTGTGATACTCTTTAAGTGTAAAAGTTTCTGATGAAAATATTTTCTAATATGATTACGATCTAAGATAACATTATATCTCTTTTAAATGTATAGTTCAGTTCGTATCTGTCACATAGTTATATTTTTCTCTCTCATACATTTCTTTCTGTTCTGTCGTATAAATCGTTTTTCTTTCGTATATTTCTTGATGAATTCTTCTCTTTATCCACTCCTCCTATATATATATATTCGTGTTTTTCTGAATAAAATCATCGATTTTCTTCATCTTCCATTTCTTCTCTTCACATTATTTGATATTTAAGTCGTCTTCATGATTATTGTATATGTCTTATTTTTGGTTGTTGTCTCCTTAACTCCAGTTCACCTTAGAAACAATACAGTTTCTCCTATATTCAATCAAAGTAATTTCTTTTTTTCATTAAATTATTTTACTCACTGATCAGATTATAGGAATTGCTCTATTGTCAGTTACCTATAAGACAAATTTATTGAATTCAATTTCACTAACAATACGAGATATAAACGCATTAAATGTACAGGTATGTAAATTTTGTCTTCCGTTGAATATATTATTTCTCATATGTATGCTCAGTATGCGCAAATATTGCAATTAGAAGAAAATAATTTGTCATTTATTTCTTATAATTTTACCTCGACAACAATCAGTGATCGGCGGAAAAAGTTAGTGAAAAATGACTTATTTTTTTAATATATAATTCTAAATTTTTAGAAACAGTAATGTAATGCAATGTGAAGATAGTTCAACATTTTCAGGTGTTTCACTCAATGTTCGATTTTCTCTCAAGTCTATCAGAAAACAAAACACGCTTTATCGATGGCAACAAGTTCTAAAGAAAATTCAAAACAATATTAGATCCACTTTTAAAATAATTAATCTTACGATACCAGTCACAGATAGTCAAATGATATCTGTTCAATTAACATCCTGCTTATCGAAAATACTCCCAAGTATGAATTCAATTTATGTATATACTAACATTTGTTTGTTTGATTGTAGTGAAGATGGCAACATCAGCGGTGACCGACACTAAGACCAGGTTTCTATATTTATTTTTCATATGTTGATTACGAAAAAGAGATAATGAGAATAGTTAGATTGTATAGAAACTAACTATTTCTTTCTTAATAGATTAAATTGTGAAGTGGTAATCTTGGGTGCTGGAGCAGGTGGGTCTCATAGTGCATATCGATTAGGTCCAATTTATAAGAATAATTTATGTATATTTGAACGTGAAAATCATGTTGGAGGACGAACGTATGACATTGATTATAATGGAACTGTATCCGAAGCTTATTCTACTACTCCAATTGCACCTATGGGAGCTATGCGATTTTATGGAAAACAACCTGTTGTTAAACAATTAATGGATGAATTAAATATTTCTTATTATCGTTATGATTATCAAAATTTTCTCATTAAAGCACGTGGAAGATTCTACACTTCATACAATGAAATGTGTTCAAAGTCATATGTAGGATTAAACTGCACTGATGATTCAAATGGATTGAATTTACAAAGTCAAATATGGACGAAATTATTAGAAGAATATAAAAAGAATTCTTCGAATTTATATAATTTTGCAGATATGAATGCATTTTGTCGTTCTCTTTTTGGTGATGAAGCAACGGAATATGTAAGAGATTCATCTAGATTTCGATCAAGTTTTCAGGGTGTAGATATTCATTCTTATATGGATGCTATCGAACAAGAATGGTATTTGGGTGAATCTATTTATTATCCCTATGATGGTATGTCACAAATTGCGAAACGAATGATTTATAAAGCAACAACAATAAACAATGTTCGACTTTTTCTAAATGAAAAAGTTATTCAAATTCAGGAAACTTCGGATACTAAGAATGATTATATTTTCTCAATTGAAACATCAAACTATAAAGTTTTTAGTAAACAATTAATCGCAGCAATACCTCCAACTGGTTGGATAGATATCGAAGGTTCAATTGCTAATGAAATCAAGTCAAATCAATATTTTCAATCAATTTTACCAATCCGAACAGTTATTATAGATAACCACTGGCCGCAACGATGGTGGGAACAAGCTTCTATGATTAAATCAAATATTGATCGTGCTTCGACAAGACAAAATTGTATAAGTTCTATTGAAATATTATCTCAACATCCACAAAAAAAAGAACAAAACTTAACAAGAACAGTTTATGATGATGGTTTATGTATTGATACGTGGTTAACATTAATTAATCGTTCATCAAATACAGATTTAATTCAAGAATTATTAAGAGGATTAGGAGAACTATTTCCTAATGTTGAAATACCATCACCGACAAAAACTTTTACAAAAGTATGGCCTGGTGCTTGGCATCTTCAAAAATCTAATACGAATGTCACAAATAAACAAATTATGAAATGGGCATTACAACCTATACCACGATTCAGAAAACATCAAATTAGTTTAGTAGGTGAAGCATTTAATCTCGATCGTTCGGGATGGGTTGATGGTGCGATTAAGTCTTCATTAATGTCACTTTATTCACAATTTAATTTCAGTAAAACTTGCTATGAAAACGATGGTGCTGTTAATGGAAATTATTGTAGCAATGATTTTATTTAATTTCAATTCATATCTCACGAAAAATAGTGTAAAAAATTTATTTAATAAAAATCAATTTCTTATCATAAATTCTAACATGTAATAAATGTTTTTTTCTTCCAACCAATGGAAAATATATGTTTACTCTCGTCAATAATTAGATCGAAGTCATTGACTAATGCGAGTTAGTAATTGATATATTTGAAGGATGTTACATAGTGACCTATTTCTCGAATGTTCCGTTATAAATATTTCGTTTTCTTTAAATAAAGGACATGATTTTATCTTATATGTCGAAATTCATTATAATTCGTAGCTGTAAATGATCACAAGATATACAACGATTACAACTGTTTGTTTTTTTGTACGATATGAAATTTAGTCGTGAATGATGTTTTTGTTTCATATACTAGTTCATTTTCATAATGATCTTATTTCAATTATTGCTTATGTATTGTTGAAATATTATTCGTATTAGAATCATGCACAAAGCTATAATGTTATTCAGGGAAGCTTGTGTTTCATCGTTCGTATTGACCTCCGTGTATCAGTTATGAATATATTCACTGAATAAGAAATTTAAATCTAACTAAATTTTTAAAATAACATATACTGATCAGATAACATAGAAAACTAGGAAAATTTGAAGAACATAAAACATTTTGATACTATTTTCTTTATAAAAATAGGGTGTGGGTGTAATTGTTGTGTAATTCTTCTTCTCACACTCTTAAGTTTTGCTTTAATTTAAACAGACATAAGTATAAAATGACTAATCATCCTACTAAGAAATCGAATAAATGTTCTTATCTCGATGTTCTTTCACAACGTTGAGTAATTACACTCACATACATATATATCTCAATAAAATCTTAACTGCATTGCTTACTATAGAATGTCGGAAAGAAAACGTCAGAAGACAACTACACTTACAAAATTTGAACAACTGCCAAACGAGTTGTTATTAATATGTTTTGATTATTTTGATTATTATTATTTATATGAAACATTTTCTTCTTTAAATCAACATTTCAAGAATTTAATTCAATATCGAACAGAAATTTATCTTAATATGAAATTAATTCCAAATGAAAAATTTTTACCATTTTGCTCTCAATTAAATCAATTAATAACAACAAATCATAACTATTCACTATCAATTCGAATTAACAATAACTATAGATTTAATTCTATTTTCCAAGATAATTTATTCAACGAGAATTTTTCTAGAATAAAATCCTTAAAAATAACAAATGTTACTGTTTCAACTCTATTGTCTATCATATTCGATGGAAAAACGAATTTATGTCATACATTAGAACGATTAAGCTTATTCGATAAAATTGGTGGCACATTCCAGGATATTGATCGTAAGTAACAATCGAGATTATCTTTACTATATTATCGATCTTTGTATAGGATTATGTTGTGATTTAATTTCGTCAAAAATGAAATTATTGAAACATTTGGATTTAAATTTTATACTGTATTCTACTGGTGACAACGAATGTGAAGAGTATGTCGATTTAGAATTTTATGGGTTATCTATCGGAGAAAAATCATTTAGTAATTTAGAAACGATTATTATCGGCTGTAAGTAATTAAAATCATATATAATTCTTCCAAATATATATTTGATTATTTTCAATAGATATTCCGTATGATGATACTTTTACAACATCAAAATTATCATTTAAGAGATTGATTAAACGTGTATTACCTTGTATGCCAAAATTAAAAACTTTAATGATAAATTCCATTTATTTTGATACTCCTGATAATTACCGACAGGAACATAAAGTATGGGTAAAACATTGCTGTACCTTTGAAGTCTCATTATAAAAAGCGAGAGAATCGACAGATAGCAAACAGTTTTTATGAGACACAATCAAACTCCTACAGATAATTATAGATAGTTTAGTGTTGTCTCTATTTCTCGGGATGTTTTGACGTAAGAGATATGTTTATATCTCATTGTTAATTTCTTTTAAATAGGTATCATCAAGTACAAAAACAAATTTAAAACTAGTTAAAATCTGGGTCGATGTGAATGCGAATGAGCAACGTGATAAAGAAAAAATGGAAAAGTATCTACAAAATTATTTTACTAATGAAAATTCTACGTTCAAGACAACAATTAAGATATTTTTCGTTCATAGTTAAAATACGTTTTTGGACTCCATATCTTTACATTCTTATTATTTTTCTTTTTTGATTTTTTATGAATAAATACAGGCAAAGAATTTATTTTATTCTACTGAATGATCTTAAAATACAAAAATCTTCTAAAAACTGATATACTGTTCATGGGCATTATGAAATTTAAGTCGACATTTACCATGGAGTTGATAACCAGAATAATTTATAAGTGATGAACCTTCAAATTGTTGATTTGTAGAATGCCATCTAAGTTGCATTTTAAATTCATGACCTTTATTTTCTATAGGATCACCAGTACCTAGTTGATACTTTTTGGTTATATTTATTTGTTCTAATACAGCTGAATAAACTCCATTCATGGTAAACATACCAACATTATCAGATCCTGAGCCTGTTACTTGCATTAATTGAGAATTAAATGAAAGTGTAATTTGAAAAGGTCCATACCATTCTTCATTATGATAATATTCTATTGACCAAGTACCTGATTGAAATCGATTAACTTCTTGAACATCCTCTTCTTGCTTGGTTTTTTCATATATGACTACAGGAAATGTCGGAACATGTTGTCGCTTTTTAAAACATAGGCAATAAACAAATACTCCCATACTAATCATAAAAATCAATCCAAGACTACCACCAGCTAGAATAAAAACTTTACGCCGACCACTTCCTACAATATAACTGTTGTCCACCACAGTAGAATTACTATCCATAGAGCTACCTTTAACATAAATGCCGTATATTCTCAATAAAATACAAAGAAAAACAGTTACTTTGAACATCGGTAATAATAATACTACTGTCCGTTGTAGCTTGACATTGAATGAAGATTTCCAAGTAGATAATGAATAGAAATATATAATAAATAATATACATTTTATAGACAATAATAAGAAATTCTTTCCTACACGTGCAAGTATTTTTGTTTATGTATGAATTCTAACTGTGAAAAAAAAACATTTTCATTTGTTTTTGTTTTCATACAAGCAAAATCACCATGAGGTTATTATTTGCTCTTTGGTTGCTACTATGATCGATTCAGAACAAAAGGTAATAACAAATATAATTAAATAAATATCACCGTATTGAAAAAGAAAATTTTCCCAAGCTTTTTATAAGAAAATAAAGTACCTTCGCTACTACTTATATATTATTATTGAATGAATACCACAGTTTTCTATATATTAAAAAAACTAGAACTGTCATGAAGTTAAGTTGTAAATTTGAAGTTACTAATGCGCGTGATTCACTTATTTTTAACATTACAGTTGGAGAATTATAATTATAGTGAATAAAACTTATAAATTGCTGTTCATTCTATGCTCTTTCGAACTAGCATAGTCATTTCAAAAAGTAAAAATTTTCGGCACCCGACCCTTATCATTTTGGGTGGTGGTTTCATGGACCCTCTCTTAATAAATGGAACGTTTAGTTATTAGATTTTTCGACTCCTGAGTGCAGGTGTCGATGAAGAAAAGATACACACTCACATTCTAAATTATTAATTTGTTTTGAGTATATAATATTTTTATTAAACAACTATTGCTAGTACCAAGCAAATCTACTCTAGAACTACCAACACCCTCTATTCTATTTAATAAATATTTTTATATATGGCATTACCCATTTGCACAACTTTTTTCATTTCCTTGACATCATGAACCCTTACGATATCAGTGCTTTGTTGTATGCATGCCATGATAGCTGCTCCAGTGCTGATAACTCTGTCACGTGCAACAGGTTCATTACAAATAGTACCCAAAAACTTCTTTCTGGAAGGACCGAGAAGACTGGCTAAACCATTGAAACTTAAGTAAAAATGTTCAACATCTTCTTCACCACGTTCGTTAACCACCATGGAATATTTTTTGAAACTCGAAGCATGTTTGATGATACTTAAGTTCTGTGATAAATTCTTAGCAAATCCAATACCTGGATCTAATATGATTTGCCATTTTCTTACACCTCTTGTAAAACTTTTCAATATTTGTAATCCCAATTCTCGAGATATTCCGTTAATTAAATTAATGACTTGTGGATCACAATTCTCGATTTTATATGACGGATTTAAAGGATCAACCATGTATTCAATTATATCTTCATTGGTATTAGACTCGTAATTGGTTAACGTTGACATTATTTCGGGTGTGCCTCGTGTATGATTCATTATATATGGACATTGGTACTTGGCAACAACATCGAATATTTGAGGATCATATAATCCCATTGAAATATCATTAATAATATCCGCACCAGCTTCTAAACATTTCTGAGCAACTTTAGCTCTATAAGTATCAATGGAAATAAGACATGTTGATAATTTTTCATTTTTGGATTCTCGGATAGTTTTGACAACAGGTAAAACCCGCTTCAGTTCTTCTTCTTCACTTGGAGCTACACTACCCGGTCTTGTCGAAACACCGCCAATATCTAATATAGTAGCGCCTTCCTCTATCAATCTTAAAACGGTGGCTTCTATTTCTGCAGCACTAACATTGAAATTGTCACCACCATCACTAAACGAATCAGGAGTTATATTCAGAATACCCATGATTAAAGTCTGCTGATTGTATTTCAATTGGTCGAATTTCAAAGGATTCTTATTATAATCTAATTCTAATCGTGGAACTGGAATAATTTGTAAAAGATTAGATGACTCTTGAAGTGTTTCATTTGACTCGACAGCTAATAACTGAGCCAAATGGTGATGGAAGGGTTCAGCACTGACTGGATGTAAGATATCGGGACTAAGTAATTCACATAAAGGTTGCAAGACAAATGATCTTTCCAGCATGGATTTATGAGGAATAATCAAATCGTTGGTGTTGAAAATAATATCATCGTACAATAAAATATCCAAATCGATTGATCTCGGTCCATTGTCAAATTTTTTGACTCGATTAACATGCTTATACTCGATTTCTTTACACTTCTTCCATAAATCATATGGAGAAAGATCCTTGAACGAAACTTTAACAACTCCGTTGAAAAAATCCGGTTGATCCTTATAATACATTGGTTTAGATATATATAAGGAAGATGTAGATACAATATTAATTTTGGCTTTTTCTAAATAATGTAACGCTTCATTGATGTTTCTAGTTTGATTACCTTCATTGGAACCAAATGCAATGTAAGCAATATGATTATTCTTCTTAGTAAAATCGGAGTCTTCATTTGAAGTTGGCAAGTTAAACTTCGTGCTTTCAGTAAGGGAATTGTGTGTAGTTACTGGTTCCATATTCTTAAACGAATCCCTATTCATATTTGAACTTACACCCACACCATCTGTAAATGAAATAGCGTTCGGTTTAGTAACCTTAACGAAAATAGTTTCAATGTCATTTTTTTGAGTAATTAATTGACCAATTTTCATTACCAATGCCTCTACCGTCTTAAAGTTGGAATATTCCACGTATTGAACAACACTGTCAATTAACTCATGGATAGAAATGTTTGATTCAAGTGAAAGTTTGATAGAAAAATCGATATTAACAATTTGCTTCTGGAATCTTTCGAACGTAAAAACTCCAATAATCGTTAATAATTTTAAGCCGTTGACATTTAATTCGTCCAATACACCATCCATTCTGCCATCTCGTGTTCTGTTCAGTCTGTATTCCACACTATCGGCTCTGATTTGAGACTTGCTAGTTTTAACGGTAACTTCGACTTGATGACCACCACCTTTTTTCGGATCCAAAAGAATACGAGACACGCTCTCTGCAATGTTACCCAAAGACTTGAAATTCTTATGTTCATTGGCTTTCATATACTCCAATATATTTCGGGACAAAACAGCATAGTTCAATGAATACTTGAGATTATCGGTGATAGACGCCTGATGAAAATCGGTATTAAGTTTCGCCGATATTTGAATTGGCTGAGGAGTCGGGCGATTCCAAGCATCTTGGCCGATCACAGCAGTAGCAGATAAATTCTTGATGAAGACTGTATCTTTAAACATATATATTGTTGCCACTATGATCTAAAATGTAAAAATAATTGACAATATAGATCTTGAATATGAGTAATGACTGTTGTAATCGATTGTTAAACTGCATTTACGAGTTCTTGTAGTAATTCTTTGGTGTTAACCCTCTTATATCTCTTGCCAGTAGATATATTGTTCTTATGTCTTTTTTTATCTAAAACATTTCTAACACATATCTTCTTTTTCTTTTTTCTTTTCGTTCGTTGTTACTTCGAAGCAATCGAAGACATACAAAAGAAAAAAAGAAGCGAAAAACATGTGCTCGCATATATCAAATGATATAAGCAACAAGAAGCGCTGAGACCATACTGAGGTAGAGATAAAGGAACGAAAAAAAACACGGAAAGTAATAAAAACTAATGAGAATAAAAGAAAAGAAAAAAAATCGTGCTCGATCTAACTTTTTCTATGGCTTGATACTTCGCAAAATAGACTTTTTTGTGACATTTTGAGGTGATATCACTAAATTAAAACTATTTATTCTCGAAAAACTCCTCTATGATTTACAGGTGAATGTATATTTTCTCTGTAAGTGAAAGCAATAAAAAAGTGTCTATTTGTCTGTAAATGATCATATTTCTTCGTTAACAATGTAATGAAATCTAATGGGCGGATTATTTCTTTTTTAAATTCAAATGTATTGTATTTATTATTTAATGAGAAATAGGAGGCGTAGTATTACCAGCACTCTCAATATTGACGTTGCCTATACTGATTCTTCACTGCAGTTCTGTCCATATCATATAGAAAACAACTTTGTGAGGATGGGTGTGGGTGTGGATGAGTGTAAGTGTAGGTGTAGATTTTGTGTTCTTCTTCTTTTCACAACCACACCCCCAAGATGGAGCTGAATGTTCCATCATCGAGTATCAGGATGGAAAGAAAATATTAGTGTTACTGGAAGCTGAGTCAATAAATAACAGAAGATTACAGGTGATATATTTTGTAATTTGGAAAATTGAGCTTTAAAAAATAACAACACAAACTCACAAATATGATTCTACTTGTTTTTGTGTTGACACTTCTGTCAAAATATATATAGGCAGTGTACGAATAAAACAGAATTCGTCAGTTTTTTTTCTTTTCATTGTTGCTCTTACAAAGTAAAACGACTACTTCACGAATGCCAGGTGATACGAGAAGTGAAGATTCTAGAAATATATGTCACCCGTGTATACTATGGATAAAACTTATCCTGTCAGCTTCGATTCCATTGCTGATAACTATTTTCACTGTTGTCACTTACATTCAACAGAAAGATATCAGTGAACAAAATCGGCAGCAAGATTTGCAAATAGCTAGTCTAACACGTGAAAAAGATATTGATCTTGCTAAAAAACAACGTGAAGAAGATCAACGACTAGCAAATGAACTTCACTATCAAAACGTCTTCCAGAATTATATCGATGATATCACAAATGTTCTCTACAAACACCAACCAAATGAAGCAATGTTCATCACTGAAGAGAAGCGACTTTTCTATATTGGTCGTAAAACAATTGTAGCATCTCGTCAACTTAATGGTGATCATCGAAAACAATTACTTAAATTTCTACTTGAAACACAGTTGGTACCAAATTCTAAGACACCAAATATAACGAGCTCATTGAATGGCGCGGATTTCAGCAATGTACATTATTCATGTTTCCCAGATGATGACTTTGCGAATTTGGAAATAAATGGTGTTTATCTCATTAATTCATCATTTCGTAATTGTTTTTTTTATAGTACGAAATTTAATTATTCATCAATGAACAACATCAGCTTCATTGACTCAGAATTTCGTGCCGATCCTAATTCCAAAGGATATTTTTTATTTTCGGGTGTTGCATTAAATTATTCAAATTTTCATAACATAGCAATGTATGAAGTTAGAATTGTCGATTCAAAGCTTTTTCATTCTAATTTTGATTATGCCCGATTATATGATCTAGAATTTGTCAACACAAAATTGGCCTATTCGAATTTTCAAAATACAATTCTCCGCAAGATACACTTCATAAGTACAGATCTATCCTGCTCAAATTTTAGTTCTACTAATATGAATAATGTGAATTTCACGAGCAATATGGATGATATGATGTTCGGGAGCGCTACAAGTCTCGTCAATTCGGATTTTTCACGATGTCATTTAGCAAATATTCGTATTGAGAATACTAATCTTACTGGCTCGAATTTGAATATAGATCATGATGAAAATATAAGTTTATCTCAAGTAGTTTTACCAAATGGAACATGGATGATTAACAGTTCAAATTTAGTCGAAGATGGCAATGGCGAGATAAATGTAAGTGATAAACCATCCTCCTCCTCCTCCCTTGTCAGTCTAGTCGTAAAGAAAACAATATTTCTATTGTTGGTATTACTTACACGTTTTCAATCCCGTACGGTTTAGATGGTATTCATTGAAATAGAATCTCAGACAGACATCCATAGAATTACGAAGTTTTACTTAAATTTACTTTTTTTCTGTTTAGTGTTTATCATCGAACAAACCTTATTCAGTATGGGAAAATAGTTTCGCCGGTTCCGGTGAAATTATTCTAGCTCTGAATAATGAAATAACTAGTGATGTTACGTCCGTCTTTAATTTAGGAAAATGTCATTTTACATCAGGCCAACCGCAGTACAACTCAGCTATTGTTCAAACGATCTCTTTCTATAAGTATTCATTATTTATTGATAGTGGTGAAGCACAATTCAATGTTTCAGCATACTTTGGTGGTAGAAATGAATGTAAAAATGGAAGTATACAAATTGATGCAGGTCTAGACGAAGATTCTTGGCCGGATCATTTGCTGTCAAATCCATGTATATAAAACGAACACATATGTGCAACATTAAAGTCATCTCTCGTTGTTTGTTTTAGATATTCATACTACAAATAATCGTACGGAATGGTATTATCACGAAACTATTGGTATTATACCAGAATATACTGATAGGTGGTTACTGCGCGTAAAATTTCAAGCCAATTCCAGCACGTGTTATTGTGATAATATTAGTTTGAAGATAAACAGGCTTGAAAAACATTAGACTATTCAAGTGATAAATGCTTCTAAGCTATTCAATAAACTTGATATCCTTGTTTGATACATACGAAAAGGTCACTTTAAATGACAGTATATAACACATATTTAAATATAACCTCAAAATGTATAAACTTATTCCGAGCAGCCGGAACTAGAGAAACAGCACCAAAAATATCGAGTAAAACCCAAGGAAGGATAGGTGTGAATGTGGGTGTGCGTATGCGTGGATGTCGTTGTAGGCGAAGAACGATCATACCATCTTGAGTATGCTGGGTGTAG